CAAGAACGGATTAGCGATTTCTTCGAGTGGATCGGGAGGGTTTGGTGTTAATAACAATGGTGCTGGTGTGAATCGGGAGGTTTTAAACGGTGGATATACATCGAGGAATTTGCAAGGTGGCTTCAAGCAAGATCAAAGGCAACAATGTTATGCAGTGATTAATGGGTTTAAACAACATTATCTCCCACTCTAAGTAACTATGATGTTTAATTATTTAGTACTTCTAATCGTTACAAAGCTTGTTATTAGTTACGATGCTTAATTGCTTATGGCTTAATTACTGTTGAGCTTTAAACAAAAATCCAACTCGTGGTGTATTTTACTTTTATAGGATTTGTGAAGGGTAAAAACATGTATGGTAAATCATGCACCCATATTGTATGGTTATCTTGCAATATTAAAATCTCTGGTTATTCTCTCATAAGTATGTGCTATAATAAGTATTTTGATTTAGAATTGAGAATGAATGTTAAAAAGTTAGTGTTAAAATGATGTCTTGTTTAAGACTAAGAATTAGTCCTCGATTTTGGGGTATTTATTGTAATGATACGATACAAATGGCGTAGCTCACATAAACGTAAAAACACATAAAAAAGACAAATATGAAGAACAATTTGATGGTAAAACAGTTCGACTGATACAAAGTTGCATTGTTTTCTGTTTCTTTTAATGTAGTAAATAATAACAACACATCATCGTGAGAAACACAAATGGCGTAGCTCCACATAAACGTGAAAACACATAAAAGAAAAATATGAAGAACGATTTGATGGTAAAAAAGTTCGACTGATATAAGTTTTTATACTAAACATGCATTGGGCCTGATTCTCCAGAAGTCTGCTGCTTTGCATTCTATTCCAGGCTTGGGGTAGTCGTCCGCAAAGGTTTCGCTTCGAAGACCAAGAAGCACGGTTCGTACTTGTTCGTCTTCGCCCCCGACTCTCGTTTTGCTAGCATGTTTGAGTCGGATATAGATATCATCGATCAAATCCAGACGGGTTTCTACAGAGAGGGCATCAGCACCTCTGTTGTGAAATCTCTGCATCAAGTCTGTCGCCTCCCTACGGAGGGCATAAATAAGCTCACCAAAGACAGCGGAGGCCAAAGTTTCGAGCTTCTCCTTCGTTTTGCCCACTACAGCGAGAGATCCTTGTGCACCAAGAAGTTCCCAAGATCACAAGTCCTGGAAAACTGAGCAGAGGATATGGACTTTGCGTTTGGGAACAACTTCCTTGCTTCATCTGATTCTCCAACTCGACCATTCAACGGCTGACAAATAGCAAGAGGACATGGCGTAGTAGTTTATTCCGCCATGGCTTTAGTAACTTCATCAGCAAGAATCTGCCTATACAAATTAGCAGTTCTTGAAGGGTACTTAGCCTCGAACATGTTGACATCATCGGTCCATCCATCTTGCTTGAAGAACTCCCGAGCGCGGTTGTTGCCACCGAACACCATTGTCCTGACCTGCTCAGGGCTCCATGAGTCTAAATTCGTTGATCTCGCGAAGCTGATATGAACACCGAAGTTTCGATGGGCACATGAACAATCGATGCAGAGAAAACCCCCGTATGTAACCGATGCCCATGTCGGATCTTTTGCACTGCAATCGAAGCATACCTTATTCTCAGATATCGCTCTGAGCTTTCCGAAAACTATACTTTGGTCGATCAGATTGTCGAAATCCATGGCAGACGACATTTTAGGGTTTTGCAAAGCGCAAACAAAATTAAGGGCAAATTACAGAATCTGATTAT